CATCCTTAAGGAGTTAACTTAATTTATATCTACTCATATTCATGTAAATAAGCATTTTAATGATTTGGCCAATTAATCGAAAAAATAATCAACCGATTAATCGATTTTTAAAATAATTGTTAGTTGCAGCCCTATATGTCTGACATATTTGTGAACTAATTGCTGTTATCTTAGTCTTGAAATAGGATCTAAATTCATACAATACAAACTCTCTACACTAGTTTTCTAGATATTTTACTTCCTGCCCTCCATTAGAAATCGCTCTACCTTCGGAACCATGTGACTGAAACCCAACTATAGGGACCTAAAAACCCTGAAGTCCTGCACTATGTTTGCTAATTTTATATTGTTTAAAAGAATTTTTTTTTTCTTATTTGGTGGACTACATGACCATTTACCACTTGCATCATAAACATTAAGCTTCATTTGCTTTACCTGTTCAACTTCAGTCTAGAAAAACACTTCTGTAGTATTTACTATTTAAATCCCTCAGCAACAAGGGACATATGTGTACTTTTTTGTTTGTTTGTTTCATTCTGATATGAATAACTTCTGGAATACTTAGGAGACAAATGAAAAGCAGACAGTGCACAAACTTGAACAACAAAAAATGCACACCGAATAACCAAATGATCCAAATGACACCCTACTATCTTTATAAATTTAATGGCCTAGCATCCATTGAAGAAAATCGCCACCCACATGTCATGTTAGATTTTAGAACAATTTTATTTCTGATAAGGAAAGATGTACTGTATTTATTCAAGGATAATACATAAAATTAAATCTATAAAATCATCCATAAAGTTGGGGGGTAGTAGGCTACTATACTCGGATAAATATTTTTACTTATGTATTTTAGTATTTAATCTGATTAAGCCTTAGAAGACTCTTCTGTGTACTGAAATATCGGCTTCATTCACAAAATGCCTGAGTCCAGAAATGAGACCGCGTCGTAAAAGGCAGTTGAAGCGACCTCTGACACTCCTTCGTGCTTCAGAGCGAAATAGTGACGGATCCAGGCAGGTGACATGATGTGAAAAAAAGGGGGAAAGGCAGTCCTCCACCTTAGTAATGATAACAAACTAACGACATTAGTGTGTGACCGGGCAGCTCCTGGAACAACAAACACATGTTTGTCTGTAATGGAAGCCATCTACCGGTGTTCTGACAAAAATTGTATCCCTGCAAAAAAGTTTCCCCACCAGAGGGGGCGCTTGCGAGTAGGAAGTAATCTGCTTTTCCCCCAGAAGATGGCCCAAATCTCATGTGAAGTCTCTGACTTTTGTAATGGCGCATCCTGGTGGACGATGTGTAAAATGCCAGAATTCATATGATGTTGCTACAGCTGATATATATTTGTTGTCAAAATACCTGTTAGTGCATATGTTGTTAAAATAAAACGAACAGTCCAATGATCATTTTACTGATATGTATAAAGTCTGCAAAGGCTGAAAAATCTTGAAGTCTGTATGAAATTGGAGGTGGTTTGAGGATGAAATTTTTATGCTTTTTAAGCTAAAAAAAAGTGTGTGTGTGTGTGTGTGGGGGGGTGTTCGTATTATATATGAGATCGTATTATACTTGAATGAATACGGTAGTTGTTTTTGTTTCTGTCAATGTTGAAAATAATTTTATGCAGGATCCCACATGGTATTGCAAGATCTAGATTTACCTGTAGAGTCAACTTTATTCAAAATGGTTGCAACAAGTGTAGCAAATATGAAAATGGCTTAAAACGGAGATGTACAGCCAGTGGCTAAAAATATGTTCTTTTATAAAAAATGTGAACTTTTTTCCTGATATCCATGCATTACTTGGAAATAAATCTATAGTATTAACAAATTATTCACCTGTGTTTCTTTTTTTCTTTGTTATATTACTGTATTATCATTTTCCTGTTTTATCTCTTCTTGTCAGCCTTAGAAGACTCTTCTGTGTGCATTTAGAAAAAGGAAAGATTATAGTTCTATGCATTTTTTCACCACTGCAATACTTTTAAATTACCTATAAAAAGTCCAAAATAAGTGTTTTTGTCTTTTATTGTCTCTTAGATAAAACGCTAAGTTCATCATCGGCCTCGCAAATGTCCATGCATTTTCACTTTTGTGTTTTCATCAGATTTTCTGACATTCTCACCTTGTGTTTCTCTGTGTCTGTAGGTGAGCCTGCTGTGGCCCGAGAGAATAACTGTCTGAATGCTGCCAAGGCTTGCAACCTGAACGACACGTGTAAAAAGTACCGTTCAGCCTACATAAGCCCGTGCACCAGCCGTGTCTCCACAGCAGAAGTCTGCAACAAGAGGAAGTGCCACAAAGCCCTGCGCCAGTTCTTTGACAAGGTAAGACAAACAAAAATTACACAAAAATCAGGATATGTAAGGAATAGGAGCTGAAATTCCACCTCTAAGGACCATTATTTAAAGGAAGAATTGTGAATAACTTACAACCCCAATTACAATGAAGTTGGGACGTTGTGTAAAACAAAAACAGAATATGAGGATGTGCAAATTCTATTTAACCTATAGATTTTGGAGGTTAGGAATGTGCGAAATGGCACAAAGTATGCAGGAGGAGTAGCGTGGCGACGTGGAAGAAGACGGAATAAGCTGAATAATAATAATATTAAAGAGAAACAGGAAAACAATAGTGTGCATTGTCAATGCAATTCACACTGATAAGATGGGTGGTTTATGCTGATTTATAATCCGAACTGCATGCATGTAAACACTTAATTTGATCATTTTATTCTGATTGTGAAATCTGACCTGACTGCGCATGTGCAACATATCAACCTGACGTATTTATGCCTGGTTAGACGCTAATATGCTGTGCTAATATGTCGGGGAAGCAAAACTGGTCGGTGAGCGATACAACATTTTTACTTGAAACTTTGAAAGAGCTCAAAATTATCGAACGCCTTTGTAAGAAAAATACGTGTTCAATACGACTGAAGTCAAGATGAAAACACCATTGTTAAATAAAATGATTTGTGGTAGGAATAAAATCATACAACACCAGACTTCTGAAAACCGAGTGAGGTTTAATTGTCACTGGGCTGACAAGGAAAACCACACTGGCCAAAAGCCAGGAAGTACATCTTTTTACACATGATTCTTCAATGCCTGAGTTCGCCCCCTACTGACCTACAGCTGAATCACAGGCATTCATCCAAAAAATCTCAACCTAATGTTATCATAACGGTTCACTTATGTGTTGTTTATGATTCGGACATGTAACTACTCTATATCAATTAACACATAATAGATTAATAATAGATCAAACATTATAAAAAGGAAACCCTAATAATGCAGTGTTGTGCTTCTAACATCAGTACTAATCTGTATTAACTATAAATTTCTTCAATCCCCCTTTTCACATGACCAAATCATGTGAAATAAAATAAGAAATTTATAATAAGCTATATGTTCGCACTAAGGCACAAATGTGTATGTAAATTACTCTAAGCGATACAGCACAACGTGGAAAATTTCTAACATCCCACCCCTGATATAAAGTAATAAGTAATAAGATTCATTTATTCCACCCCACTCAAAATAGAAAACATAAATTGAACTATTGTCAAATATCAACCAGGTCAGATGTGTTTATTCTAATTGGGGCCAGAGGTTCCAGAACTTAGCCCACCGTTGGGAATAAGTCCTCAGCACTTTTCCATCTCCTCCTCTGCAGACTGACCTGGTTAATAACATTTCAACTTAGTAAAATATTAATATTAATATATATATTAAAAAACAAATCAATCTAAATTTTACACCATTACTAAACATACCTGCTTAGTGTGTCGTGTCTATAAAAATAATCAATAATGAAACACAAATGAAAATCAAAATTTATCAAAATCATTCAAAATCAACTCATTAACCTATCAATTTCATGTCCGACTACATGAGTGTAACTATTTCAGTGTTACCATTATATATCTAAAAATGTCAGCTAGAATCATCGTTTTTAGGGCCTTGGTCTCCACATCAGTCGTCCTCACCATAGGGGTACTGTAGCGGTGGCAATGGAGCGGTGTCCGACGTCTGTACCATCTGATACTCAATATTGTGATGTTGGTTGAAGATGTTTCGAACAGTCTGGGAGATGGCCCTTAAACACAACATTCTAGCCACAGGGATGCCACAGAAAAAGCAAAAACCCAGTATTACCACCACCACGACTAATTGCATCACCACAGTAGACATCAGCTTTTTCCAACCTCCAAAAACCTTCATGAACCATCCCTCGGTCTGCGTGGCACCCTTTGAAATATCATTCAACTCCACAGACAATGCTCATAGACCTTTAACAGCCTTTGTAAATGACCTGTCAGTGTCAGTATTTCCAGGAATAAATGTACAACAAGATGACCCAAAAATAAACACACTCCACCTTGTTCTGCTAATAAATAGTCTAATGCAACACGATTCTGATTAGCCATTAAAGATGTCATTGCTAATTGCTCATGTGCACTCTGGAAGGTATCCCTGGTCAAATTATTAAGCCTCTGCAAAGAAAAATGAATAAAATTAAGACGATCCATGTTTTTATTAAGGGTAACCCATAGAAAAATGCTTTCAAATCCAACTGCCACCTGATCGATCAATTTGAACTCAGTTGGAACCCCTCTTGGCACTCCAATTGCATCAATGTACACTGGACTGTTTGCATATATATCAAACTCACTTTTAACCTGGTTCAAGTTAACAACCTGCTTATCCAAGAGAGCCCGATGTTCCTGCAATTCATCAATAGTGATATTTACAAACCTGACCGGCGAGACCAGGGACACTTCCACACACAGCCCACTCCAACCTGCTGGCAACACCTTTAACAAACGATTATTACCACAGTACCAAAATACATCTGCCCTAGACACATTTAACATTGTTGCATTACATCAATCACCTGTTTGCACCAGGTCACATTCAGCCGTCCAACATCCACGCTTCTCTGCCGCCCCCTTCTGGCCAAACAAGTGAAACTGCCCTCCACCGCCTTGAAGACAGGAGGAGCATCTGTTCTTGAAGACATAGGAAAGAAATGTTCTAAATATTTACACTGAAGTGATGGGTTTTCAGTAATATGTAATTGCAACATACAGAAAAAAAGTTGAAGCATTACTCAGAGGTGATGGGACCATTAATAATGCTGGCCATGCCTCTGCACAAACAACGCTATTTGACAATTTTGCTTGACTGGCAGCATTTCTGACAAACTTCAACCAATAATTAGTCTCCGTAACTCCAGTATCTACAACAAGTTCTTTAATAGATCCCACATCAACTGTTAGCTCAAAGTCGCTAAGCTGCACCACAAGAATATAGATTTTACCCACTGGATCTCGTCCTCTCACCGCCAGCCCCATCAGCAGAAATCCAATGTCTGACACCTATGGATTTCTCAAACTCAGAAACATAGGGTTACAAATAGAATCATTAACACACAGGCCCCCTTTAATTTGGTCTCTCCTACTTTCTAGTCGGTCTTGAAAAGGAATTTTTCCCCATCCTCCTAACTGATAACCACATCCAAAGTCCTCATTCAAATAAGGCATTATTTCAATTGTACAGACATATACTCTTGCTGATTGGTAAACCCCCTTTTCTGATCCACAGTCATTGACGGAGCACAGATCAAAGAAAATGGAAGCAGTTTGCCCCTCCACAAAAGTAAATTTATAAGCCTCATAATGTACATCTGCTCATTTCCCTCTGCCTTTCAAAAATTCCAGCAACACCTTGGTTGAGATGTTATGCATTTTTTCAAAAACAAAATCATCGTAAGATGGCAGATCAGTTACGTTGTCAGGGATTAGGCCAGTCAGGTTAGTCAGGTTAGTGTGCATTTCATCATCATCATCATCATTTTTTGTGTTTCACATCCCACATGTTAATTCAAAACAGCAAATAAACAAATAAAAGAAAAATAAAATAAAAAAATAAAAGAAAGACATTTCCCACCGGAAGCCATTATCAATCTCACATGATAGCTTCCGTTTTTTTCTTTTTTAAATAATATATATATATTTTTTCAATATTTTTTATTTTTATGTTTTTTAACAATACTGTACTTCTTACTCCTTAAATTATATGGAGTCTGAAACCCAGATTCAGCGGTTTTGTCTCTCTCTTCAAAAGAAGCATTCAATTCATCCAGCTGGTTTTCAACGTGTTTCCTAGTTTTCTCTGTAAAAGCAACAGACTTGCAGCAGTGTGTCTTATGAATCCAATTACTCAACCTTGTCTCAGACAACCACACCTTCACACAGTGAGATGTTGTCTCCGCAACTTGAAATGGTCCATGCCACCTCGGTTGAYGCCAGTCAAAACGTGCCACTTTTCTCAGCACCCAATCCCCTGGGTTGATGACCTCACAGTGACCTCCGTCGTCTCGTGTTGATTCACCCACCGTCTGTTGGGACAGACTCATGACAGTATTTCTCAACCTCATCATGCATTCTGGCATCACATCATGTTGCATTTGTACAGTATTACATTCTGAAGGCATAGTTGTCAGCTGACACAGCATTTTCCTCCCCTTTAACAGCTCATGCGGACTCACATTCAGTTCCCCCCCGGACTGGACCTGATATTAAATAAAACAAGAGGCAAAGCGTCCACCCAATTTAACTTTGTGTCTGCACACACCTTAGCTAAACTTTCTTTCAGTGTCCTGTTTGCTCGCTCTACTTTGCCCTGGGACATCGGATGGAAAACAGCTCCAAACTGATGCTTGATCCCAAACATCTGCTCCACTTTTTGCAGTTCCTTATTTAAAAAATGCCTGGCATTATCAGATCTTATGACAGAAGGTATACCAAACCTCGGAATGACCTCACAGGACAACCACTTTACCACCTTGGATGCTTTCTCCGTGCGTGTCGGCACCGCTTCAATCCATCCATTGAAAATGTCAACACAAACAAGCATAAATCTCTTACCCTGAACCCTGTTGGCAGCTCCCATGTCTGTGAAATCAATACACACTTCTTTCCGTGGAGCCGCAGGAACCGGGAATGCACCGAGACCAACCTTCAGCACCCCCTTCGGATTGTGTCTGGAACAGATTTCACACATCTGAACAAAATACTTAGAAATTGCTCTGATATTAGGATGCCACCACACCTGAGTAATCATGTCAATCATTTTAGCACTTGAACCATGCCCCCTACTGTGAGCCTCCTGACACAACAGGTTCACCAGAATTTCCGGAGCCACAACCTTTCCCTCATGGTTTCTGTAGATGCCCTCAGCATCCTGTCTGGCCCCTCTGTCTTGTCACAGTTTAAATTCCCTTTTGCCACCACATCACACTTTTTCTGGTGAGCCCTACATTTTAAGATTGACACTGCTCGTGGTTGTCCCAATGCATAGTATAACTCCAATATTTGTTGCAGGTGACTCAATGGTTTTCCCGAAGCAGTCACAAAGCCCTTCCTCATCCACTGGCTCAAATCAACATCATCATGAACACTGCGGTGCACGTAGTCTGAATCTGTGTAAATAACAGTTTTTCCTGCTGATAAATTACACGCCTCAGTCACAGCTTTTAATTCAGCTAATTGAGCTGACGCTGGTTGTTTAATGACCTCTGACCTCAACACAAACACACTTTCCGTGACATTCTGACACCACAGTAAAAGAGGCAATGAGCTTATCCTCTTTAGTTTTATGAGAGTGTCCGTCAGTAAACAATGTCATGTCAGCTCCCTCTAATGGGTCCTGAAAAACGTTGTCATGTACTCTCATTTCCTGATCTGTCACATCTGCACAAATGTGGTCCTGATTTGTCCTCATGTGAGAAGCAACATTCACTCCCTCCGCCGTGAAATGAATATGTGGTCTGTCCAGCAATCTCTTTACACTTTCTGACTTGTTCAGTGAAAATGTAAATGCCTGGGAGTCTATGAACGCCTTTACATCATGCAAAGTATGAACAATCACCTGATTTACCATGGTTATGTGGGATGTTTTTACGACAGCTTTCATGATGGCTGCAATGTCTAACACAAGATGGGTGACCTCTTTCAAAGTGATCTAATTTTGAACTGTGATACATCAAAATCCTCCTGTTGGTTTCCAATCCTTTCTGATACAGCGCAGCATGCACAAATCCTTGTGCCTCACTTACATCTATGTGAAATGTCTGTGAATAATCAGGACTCTGCAATGCACATGCACCTGCCAAGTTTTGCTTCACCTGAACAAAAGCCCTGTCTGCCGCCTCTGACCAAACTGGAGGAGCTAGTACTTCCTGTAACCTGCAGCTGAAATCAACTCCCTCAGTGGAGCAACTTTACTGCTGAACTCTGGCACAAAACATCTGCTGTAATTTACCAGCCCCAAAAATTTCATCATTTCCCTCACTGTTTTAGGCTTCGAGTAACTGAGAATAGAAGTTTTCTGTTTTTCTGTCAATTGAAACCCTTCACCTGACACTACTCTCCCTAAGAAGGTGACATTTTCACGACCAATTTGCAACTTTTTTCTGGAAACTTTAAAACCACATCCCGCTAGATGTCTTAGAACCATGTCTGTCACTTTTAAAATGCTGTCAGAATTCTCTTCTACCACCAGGATGTCATCAACATACATCAACAGCAATGTCGTTGGAGGCAAAGTTAACTCCTGCAATTTCTGTCGGCGCGTCGTCATGTGGTTGTTCGGCGTTCGTTTTTGCACTGACCTTTCATAGTTCCCCCGAGAAACCCCGAGCCTAGCTGCTGGGAAAGCCCTCCTGCTCCAGCATACGTCACTGCATGGGATTCCTTCCCCGGGGAGTGCAATGCGGGAAAAAAAGTCTGCGGATCTTCACTTGACGTTTATCCACAAACTGGTCCCGGTTAAGCTCCAAAGTTTTTATAAGTCAGATTCCACTGTGAAAAATGTCTGTTTTATCCCCTTTTATGAGTTTTTGGCCATTGACTATCTTTAAATCGCTGCTTCCTGGTACAACAGTCGGCTCTAGAAGCGATTGCTTTTTTCTTCTTTTTTTCCTTTCTTTTCTTGAAGTGAGTTGTTGAAGCAAATGCAGCATAAGAGCCCCCTGGTGGCTGAAGAAAAAAATCCATGTATAAGCCACACCAGACTATAAGCCGCACGGTTCAAAGTTCAGGAAAAAAGTCGCGGCTTGTAGTCCAAAAAATGCGGTAGGTTGAAAAGGATTTGCAAATCATCATGTTCTGCTTTTACTTATGTTTTACACAACGACACAACTTCATTAAAATTGGGGTTGTAGAAGGCTTGTTGACAAAATATTTATATGCACTTTTATGTTTTTAGTTGGATTTTCAAGTCCTGAAAGGAAACAAAAGTTCATCCACTTCCACGTAAACCCCTTTGCATGGGCACGGCAATGAAGTGGGGCAGGTGGAAAATGATATATTTTTAAATGTATTTCTTAATTTATTTCATTCATAAAAACAACAAAAGGTTCATTAAAAAACAAAATAAATCAATTAATAAATAAAAGGTGCAGAAATAAGAAAAAATCTTATATTTGCCCCTTATTA